TTTTGCTGTTTCTCCTCTTCAGTCAAATTTTGAAATACAGAACTTCCAATGTTTAATTCTTCTTCTGAAACAAGTGGAATTTTAATCTTGGCCAAGCTAAAGAGTGAACCCCCAAATCTTATCTCTGAATTATCAAAACCTAAGAAAATTAGTGAAAAAAGAGGCTTAGGTATTTAAGGACAGAACTGAGGAGAATTATTAAAGCAAAAAGTAGAATAAGGAGTAGCAAACAAATGGCCTCAGGCAGCCTGTGGTAGGAAGAAAGTTAAGTTCATGTTTAGAAATGCTGTTGTAACAGTTTCATTGTTAGAGAAATACATCACTCACAAGTCTTTTAAAATTCATTTGTGCTATATGTTACATATTACTGTCCAAAGTATTTTAATTTTATAGAAAACACAGGCAAGGGTATTCATTTAGTGGTGTGAACCTGTTTTTTCTCAGCACAGTTACTCAAGGTAGAAGTAAGTCTTACCACTCAGCCGGTATTATCCTAATGAGGCACCACTAATTATCTCAAAGCACACACATACCTCCAGTGAAAGAGAACCCAAGGGGAATTTAAATCTCTTGAGAATTTAATTTGAAATCTCATTCCCTTAAGCGATGAAAATATCACAAAGGAATACAATAATACAGTTTTAAAGAAAGTACGGAAGAAAAGACTTAATTTAGCAATCTCATTTTTTATACATGTTACTGTGACTTTACAGTAGCAAAATTTCCATGTCTCTAGCTATGAAGGGAAACATTTTTAAAATGCTTCTAAGTTAGTGAAATTGTACAGCAAATGGAATACCTAAAATCTGTCTTAATGGAACATTTTTCAGCAAAAATATACTTTTATATAATAATTCCAAAATGAGAGTTATCATCTAAAAGTCTAAGACAATTTGGAATTTATTTCAGCATGTGGATGATACTAAAAGCATTGTATTTTGGCAGCTTGATATCTTTATCTTTGTCTTGATCATGAAAATAACATTAGACAACCCACTGACTAAATTCAACATCAATATGAAATTTCACTTTTAGATCAAGACATCATCAGGTTCCCACTATCATACACTTGTTAAGAACAGGGATGTTTTACAGGCAGATATTTAGAGATTACATAATCAAGAAAACTGACATACTGCCCAATGGCCTAAAACTTAAATTAATCACAGTGTATAGTTTATATTTCAAGGAATCATAAATGAAGCATGTTTACCAAAATTTGATATTTTCATTTGGTGAAACTAAAAATGGTATCGATACCTCAACACAAAACAAGGATCATAAAATAGCATTCTTAAATTCAGCTGATGTAAAATGCTTTCTATCTAAAGAGACATGCACTTGCCTCTTCTAATAAAAGCATATCAGTTTCAAAAAGTAGTAACACAAGTAGGAATTTCAGGTTTTAAGCCAAAATCTTAGAAAGAAACCCATTTCACTGTCAGGATGCATCTGTAACTGGATTTCCTAAGCACTATTTCCTCTTTCTCCATTCCTATTTCTACAACTTCTGAAAAAGTCAATATTTATGGTATAATCCTAAAGTCAGATGCTTGGGCAAAGGCGTATTTCATGCACAACTAGACTGGGAACTCCATGGGCAGTAAGAGGGCACCTGGCTTCCTGCCATCCCTGACAGCCACACCCACAGTTAACCACAGGCCCTGTCACACCCAGGCCTGAAACCAGCTGGCTATGAGGACCCTCTCTCCACCTATTAGTGAGACCTAGAAAAAGTCTGTTCCTAAGGGTGAACTACATTACTTGCCATGTGTTTTGCCCTCCAACTATATAAAGGTCCTATGTAAAGAGTTAAAGTATCCATTTGTAGCACCCAGTGTAGGTGGTCAGCCTCTCAGTACAGCCCTCCAACCCAGGTCCTGGAAGTCTCACTGAAAATAGTTTGAGGAAATAATGAATTTTTAAATTATCATAATATAATAACTAAAACATAATATATAATATACTAACAAACTATAATGAATATTTTTGATGTGTTTTAAGTCCCTTCAGAGTGATTCAGTACTCCTTAAGGATATGACAATAAATAATGATTCCTATTTCAGTAAAGCAAGCAATTTTCAGTCATAAGAAATTGCAAATAAAAGAACACTTAATGAACCAGAGCTTTTGTGATAAGAACATCATCAAGAACATTTGGATTTTAGAATGAAGATTCGATACATGTAAATAATATTTTAGGAAGGCTATAAAGAAGCAGCACAAAAATTCGTAAGAAATGAAAATGCATTATTCTTTTCAAATCTGCCAAATAAGGCTACACTCACATTTTTAAAATGAAGTATAACTACAAATGAAATAAAACTGAGCTGTCTGGAAGACTAAATTCTGCTAATGCAAGTTTCCAGAAACATGGTTAAAATCTTTTCTCTTGAGATTAAGAGCGGAAAGGTCTTTCCTCCTTTTGTTTCTGCGTGATAGTCTTCCCAGATTATAAACAGACACAGAGGATCACTCCTAAAAATCTTGGAGAAGAAATCGGCATTTTGAGAATCATGTACTGATGTGTGTCATGACCTCATATGCAGCTGGCCTCCACGCTCATTACTACCAGGATGACTTCAGTCATACTTTCCCCCCCTGTTCCCACTCCACAAAGTTCACATTCTTCATTCAGTCCTAGCATTTCCCAAACTGTACTTTGCAAAACATGAGAGACCCAGGAGACATTAAATGGATGTTTCTGTCAAATTGGTTTGGAAAATATATCACAGGATATCTTCTCTCAGTAATCACAAAATATAGTTTGAGGCAGAATATGAAGATACTTGAAAGACAGGCTAGAGAGGTACATTTTATTCTGTGGGCAAAATGAGAAGCACGGGAGAGTTTACGCATAGGAGAGAGATGATTCATGTTTCATGGAGAATGTACAGGATGCTGGAAAGATGTTATTGTGGAGAAGAATGAAATCTGATCAAAACAATCATGCAAGAGGCTAGCGTGAGGCTGTAACTGTAGAAATAGAGAGGAGGGAGCACAGTAAACAACTTCTGCGGAGAATGAAAAGTGCCTTGTGAAAACTGGATGTGGTGTGAAGAAAAGGCTGGAAATGAAGATGGCCTAAGTTCTCTATTGTCACCATTTTCTCAATGAAACAGAAGGCCATGTCAAGTCTACTGATGAACCCATTAGAAGTATTTTTCATTTCTGTTACAATGTTTTTGATTCCTAGCATCTTCTTTCAATTCTTTCTTAGAGTTTCCATCTCCATTCTTATATAACCCATCTGTTCTTGCACGTTGTCTGTTTCTTTGATTAGAGCCCTTTACACACTAATCATAGTTATTTTAAATTGCCTGTCTGATGAGCCCAACATCTGTGTCATATCTGAGTCCGGTTCTGATCGTTGCTTCATCTCTTCAGACTGTTTTTACTTGCCTTTTGGCATGCCTTGTAATTTTTTGCTGAAAATCAGGCATGTTGTATTAGGAAACAGAAACTAAATAAATAGGCTTTCAGTGTGAGGATTTAAGTTCACCTGGCTATGCACTGGGTTGCGTTTAATGTTCGCTATAGCTACAGGAGCCAGCGGCATCAAATTCCTCTGGTGTCCTTGTTTTTGTCTCACCTCTTGACTTTGGGCTTCCCTAGGTACTCCTCCTCAGAGGGAGTCTGTGTCTCCTAGTTCATTCAACTGTAACTGACTTACTATACCAGAGACCTGTTGGTGTAGTTATAAAATTCAGGTGAGAGGTAGCATTCTATAATTTTCTGATTAAATTTCAGCTTTTAGCAGGCTTTTGCTCTGTTTCTTCTTGATCAGAGTGTTACAAGTGTTTCTTCTTGAACAGCTCTTCCCTTCAGGTGAGACAGGAAGGCAGTAGGAGGCTACAAAAGGAATGCCCTTCTCCCACAGCTCTAGTACAAGGCTCTGATAAAGTCTTTTACTCTTAAGACCAGGCTTTCTATGGAGAAGGCTCTGGGTATATTTTACGATGATCACTCGTCTACACCTCCTATTAGAGTCATGAAGGGATCATTCTCAGATTTCCACTGTGAGAACCTGATGGGGTTCCTATAGGTGAGGCCATGAACATGTGGACTAAGACGGTGGCCTCAGGAGTTTCCAACCCTCAGTAGTGCATACTCAGCCTCCAGCAATTATTCAAAATTATCACTTAAGTGTTACTGCATCAGCAGCTTCTGCTCCAGGTAAGCAGATCATGGCTGACACCCTCTGGACACACCCATCTCTCCAGATTTCAGGGTGGTAATCTGCCCTAGAACCTCAGTTCTTTGATGGGAGACATGGATTTTTTAGTTTGTCCAGTTTTTTTCTTTTTGTAAGAACGGGAGTGACAACTTCCAAGATCTTTAAATGTCAGAGCTGACATTGGAAGTTTCAATATTCACTCTTCATATTAATCAGAGTTAAAATACACAGACACCCCATTCTTTCAGATCCCTATTGTCAGCAAAGGGTATGGGAAGAAAATGTATGTGTACAGAGCGCAAAGACATTTATGACTGATAACAGCTTAAGTATATTACATGGTGTAAACCTGGTATTTTAGAGTCAGAAGCTCTGGAGGCTTTTCAGATGTAATACATCACATCTACCTTTAACTCCTCTAATCTTAATTCAGTCAAATAGATTTGAAATCACTTTTTGGTCATAACATATGTGGGTGTTAATTATTATCATAACCCTAGGTAGCATTTTCATTTTAAAGTAAAAAGATGAGAGTGACAGTGCTTTAAATTTATCCATGCAAACACTAATGAAAAATTTTCAGAAAGTGAGGAGAATCTATATTCTCCTTTGTATAGGTCTTTATTGCTGTGATTCAGTTTCTTTGTTATTGCTTCTGCCTGCTACTCTTCTCAATTTTTAAAGTCAATTATGAGCAAAAATTTACTGTATACATTATTTTAATTTCTTGTTATGGAAATTTTCAAACATACAAAAATAGAGACAAATAACGGACCACTTACGTAATCATTACCTAGTCTCAACTACTTAGCAAAATTTTTGCCAGTCTTGCCTCATCAATCTCTTCCACTTTTTTTTTCCCCAGAATATTTTAAAACAAATCCTAGATAACATACAATTACTTAAGTATGCATCTCTACTGGATAAGAACATCCATTCTCTCATCTGCCCTTCTACCCTCCATCTTGATAGCTGGACAGATCAATAAGCTAAGAACATTTCTCTTGTACTCAGAATTTTGGATGAGAATTAGTTCTGCAAATAAAAGCAACTCATCTAAGATGATGAAAGCAAAAGTTCAGCAGAGGCCATTTTCCTGCACCCTTTCGGCTATTTCAACTGCAAACAGAGACAAGGAAATGTGAGGTTTTCTACAGCAGTGCTTTATAGTGGCATTTTCCAATTTTCTGCGTGCCAAGAGGCAATTGTGGCCACAGCAGCAGTTTATATCTGGCTTCATGATTACTGGATTGCAGTTATGGGGGTATGTTCTTAAACTCATAGCTCCAGCAACAGCCTCACATGTAAACAGCTCATAGATGGATCAGTCTGACAATCTCTGTCAGTCATTCCAGTAGGAACAGCCTTTTATAAGCACCTAATTCCCTTGCATTAAATATCTTCCTGTTTAAAACCCATGTTGTTTCTGTTTCCTGGAGTAAATTCTGACATATATTATTTGACAAATTTGTGTGTCTGTGGAACTGATACTAAATTTTCCTGAATTAATACTTAACTTCATTGGTACACTAACTTTTCTATCCTACTCGCCCCATTTAAAATTCCTTTAAACTTATACTCACTTTAAAATTTAAATGTCCATACTATTCTATTCATTAAATGTCAACTGCAATGCTTCAAATCTATTTCATGACCCACCAATGGGTTGTAAGCCTCAGTTTAAAAGACACTGCTTACACACCATTGTCTTATTTAAAAAGCTAAGAGTATATTGTAGAAAATCACAACAGCATTTACTTATCTTTCTTTTATTCCACCCCAGCCTTCATGGTAGACAGTAAGGAGTTTTTCCAGCTATCATTTCATTGACCTTTACCTAAGTAGGAGATAGCTCTCAAGCAAATCTCCACATAGCTAAGAAATATTTTAAAGAGATAGGTAAAAACAGAGAACAGAGAATAAGGGAAAAAGTAGGTATGACTGACATTTAGGTTTAGGGGAAAACTGCTCTCGATTTAAAAGAATGTAAGTTTTTCATAAAATCATTTTCTAAAAGCTTTCATTGACCAGATTTGATTTTGTTATTAAAACATACCTCCAGAAACCATATGCAATGTTTGATTTTTTTCCCTCCATCAACTCATTAGTCAAACAGAAATAAATCTAATGGGGACCAAAGGAACTTTTAAAAACTAAGCATCCTTAAATCTTGTTATATGAATAGTGAACTATATTCAGTTTTTAGTTCTTGATTCCAAAACCAATAAAATCACAGCAAAATGTTAAATGAATCCACAGATCTCAAAGGATAACAGATCATAAAACTCCCACAGATTTGGCAAGGTGGCAGTCACTGACAGAAGGAGAAAAGATATATAAATATAAGCTAGTTTCACATTTTTCTATCCTAAAAAATTGAGCTTCATGTGAAAAACAGTTCTTAACTATAAAATATTTTTCTATTTTATCAAATAGATAATAGCATTAATGAGTATTATATTTATGCATTATGTTCCTCCCTTCTGTAGGAAAAAATGATTTGAATTAACTTGAATCATAAAGCTCAGTAGGCTTATACTTTAATTTTAATGCTTCGAAAGGAAATCTTCCAAAATGTATTATCTTCTTTCTTGCTTGGTGAAACAAAATTAAATGAATATTAATTAGTATTTTAATGGTTTCTCATTATCATAATCAGGGCTCTCATTATCATAATCAATTACCATCCTTTTCTGATACACTGTGCTGCCCTCAGGAGTTGCTGAAACGTGACAGTATGTTAAAAGTGAAAACACAGGACGTTGGTGTTAGACAACTTGGTTCAGATCAAGGTACTCACAACTTTCTAGCTCTGTGATAATGGGCAAACTAATTAATATTGCTACATTTTAGTTTCATCTACTATAAAACAGGAACCATAATGCTGTACTCATAAGGTTTCTAGAAGGATTAAATGAGCATATGCAAGAGAATATAGTAATGCCATTAACACTATAAAATCAAGTATGTCACTTCTGAAATTAAAATATTTCCTAATTCTGAATAACTGATACAACTGTACAAACAACTGGTGAGTAAGAGGGGAACTACTGTCTTTGTAGAATCAAACAGCATAAGCTTTTAGAGTTGAAGGCACAAAAATAAGGTAGTAAATTCAAATTTTATGTTGAAATATATTTAGAGTAAGTGTTTTTGCAAATTATATCTTTTTAAATCTTATCTTGTTTGTTGCTGCTAGATAGACATACAACTTATTTTAATTTTGTATACCAGAAAATTTGCTAAATAGGAATATTTACAAACATCTAAAAACAACTTGATAAAATTTTTGAGACATTTAAGGAAACCTAGATAAATGAAGAGATATATCATTTATTTGGATTAAATGATCAATTTACCCCAGATTGTTCCATGGTTTCAGGATAATCACAAACTAAAATTACAAAAGAACCTGTGTGGAAATTGACCAGCTAATTCTAAAATTTATATGGAAATGAAAAAAATCAAGACTAGACAAGGCAAACTTGAAGAAAAACAAAGTGAGAACTTATCAGCTACGAAGAGTTATTGTAAATAGCAATTTATTTGTATATAAAAACATAATTATATATAAATTAATCACTTTATAGTAACAGTACAGCACAATACTGGTATAGTAACCCCAAAACAAAATATAATTGGGACAGAACAGAGAAGCTGGAAACAGATCCATAATATATGAAGAGGAGAAAAACAATACTTGATGGAAGTAGAAAAAAAGAAAGCCTCTTCAGTAAATAATGCTGGAACAATTAGATGTCCATTAGATTAATTAGAAAAAAATTAAATTGGATCCTTCTCTCACACTACCCAGAAAAACGAAAACCAAACCAAAACAAAACAAAACAAAACAACTTCAGGTTAATTTTCAGGCCTTAATGTGAAAGACAAAACTATTAAGCTTTTAGGATAGAGATTATCTTCATGATCTTGGGGGAGGGAAAAAATCTCTTAAACAACATATTAAAATCATTAACCATAAAGGAAATAATCGATACACTTGACTAAATTAAAAAACTGTTGTTTAACAAAAACCATAATAATGTGTGAAAAGACATAGTACAGAGTGAGACGAGATATTGTAACCCATACAGGCAACAAAGGATTTCCAAAGTCTATGCAAAAATTCTACAAATTGATAAGATAGACAGGACCACAGAATGAAAAATGAACAAAGGACTTGAACATGTACTTTAAAATAGGCAAAAGTAAAGAGAGCAAAGTGTACCATTTAGGGATACATACAAGAATTTTTAAAATAATTTTATTCAAAGGAACAAACTGCTTACCACTAAAGTCAGGGATAGTGGGTACCTCCAAAACTTACAATGACTTCTGAGTTGATGACAATATCCTATTTCTCCATGTGGGAGGTGGTTACATGGGTGTTTATTTTATAATTTTTCATAATTTTACATGCTGTACAATTATTTTGTACACTTTTGTGTATATTTTGTAATAAAACCATATTTTCTTAAATGTACTGAAAGAACTCAGACCAGATGATGACAATTTCCAGATAACCCAAGCTATAGCCCCCAAAATAAAGATTCTTCTTAAAAATGTAATTTCTAGATTCAGATTTTCCCCATTTTGTTGTTCTAGAGTCAGACTGACCATTGTAGGTCATATATTACTTACTCCAGAGAAGGCTACATGAAAGAGGTGTCATTTGGTCTGGATCTTAGGGGATAAGATTTAGATATGGGTAGACTAGAGAAGGGATTCAATTAGTTCTACTAATCCTACTGTCAGTTTGATGAGTAAATCCTCCTGAGTCAGTTTGCTTCCCTGGATCTCAGTTTTCTCACTAAATTAAAAAAAAAAAAAGGATTACGCCTTAGTAAAAATTTAAGCATCAAGTTCTCTCCCCTTGGTGATAAGCTTTTCACAACATGCATATTTGAGAAGAAGTCCATAAATCTGCCCCATCTATTAACTCTCATTGTGATCTTAAGCAACCAAAAGAAGGCAGAGGATACCTGTGACTGGCTGTGCAGGAAAAATGACAAGCTACATTTTGACTCAATCATTGTGAATAATGAAGTTAGACAGATTAGGAACCAAGAAATTCTCGGCCTCAGTTACCTCAAATTTCAATTAGAAACAGTAACTTCCATGCTACATATCTTGAAGGACCAAAGTGAACTTTTGGGTGCGTTGAGGGGTTATTAATACTTCTGGCTTTATGAAGGCTCTTAAATTTTGTCTGAAAAACCAAAGGGCTGTGAGTAGGGAGCTGCATGGAAGGTGGGACTCTGAAGTGTATTTTTGAAATTAATCACCACCCTTTCCAAAATTATAGAACTTTTAAAAAAATGTTGCTAAATAATTATTTGCTAAATAAGCAAAATAACTGTTAAAAATAAAGTAATGATAAAGTGATCTGAGTAAGAAAAACTGCAGAGAGAGTCATTGCTTCTGAACACAAATTGGGTGCACTAGAAATAACAGGGGTCAGGCATCAGATGTTCTGGCTCAGGCATTTATTTACCAGCTGGGCGACTAACCACAGATGAGCTGGACCAAACCAGTTAAAATCACGTAAAGTTTTTTCCCCAACTCTATGATTATATGTAAATTAGCCATTACAAAACTATATACCATCTAGGGTTCTAGGCTCTCTTAATACTGCTTGTATGCCAAAACTAATAAATAAAAATCAATATTATTACTAAGATAAATTAAAATCATCACTTCATGAAAGGATTTAAAATAACGTTTCTTTAGTTTTCTTAGAGCTTATATTTCCATTTATTAAAGCTAACATTTTACATACACCTTCTTAAAAAGGCAATTAATGTTATAGTAAGTTATACCCACATCTATCACCTACAGCTTTTTAAAGAAAAAAAGGACAATTTTCTGCAAAGCAAAATCAAAAATCATGTATAACGAATCCAGTTTTAGATACACAAATTCAGGTAAACTCAAGGTTATACTCAATAGTTACATACAGGTTTCTGTACCACTTGGCCAATAGCTGAGCTGCTGTTTAACAGAGGGCCCAAGTTCCACTCTCCCACACAAGCTGGCCAGTTCCCTAGGCCAGAACCCCTGCTTGGCCATTTGTCCTAACCTCCTCACAATTCCATAATTACAGATCTAAATCCTAGTATAACAAGGTGTCCCCAGTACACTGTTCCAGTCCCAACTTCCTTGCATCTATGCCATACTGTGTGTTAAATATTTGGAAAATCCCTCTTGAGTAAACTGGAAGTAAAATATATATTTTACATTCTAAAGGGAAAACAAGAGGCTAAGTGGTCTGATATCAAATTTTTCTATTTTGTTGGTTGAATTGGTCAGATTACTGGCAGCTTTCTGCAGACAGACGACCAGAGTTACTCTATCCTTTTCTGGGTTACCACATCCTTCCGCTTTGCCTTCATTACAATAGTAAGAAACTCAGGAATAAAGAAAGCAAGAAAACTCTGCTAGACTTAGCATAAAGTATTTGCCGCTAGGAAATCAGACAGCTGAAATTATATGTCAGTTTCATCCCTTAATCTGTGCAAAAAAAAAATATATATATATAATATGTATATATATGGTTATAAAAACAGCTTTTGATGAAATTTCTAAAATACACAGTTTCTTCTAACCACTCTCAGAGGAACTTAATGGAATAGTGCCTACTGGCTATCTGGCATACCATCAAATTCAAAAAGGCTGTCATACGATTCAGTTTACTAATTAAACAGTGAGTTAAGATAAACAACATTTGAATATTTTTAAAACACTTTTTCTAAATCTTATCTCATTTGGATCTGACCATTTATCTTGAGATATATGTTGTTATCTCTATTTCACAGATGAGGAAATTGATGCCCTGAGATACTTGCCCAATACTCACCTAGTAAGACAGCTGGGTCTGAACACTGAAACACTGACATCTGGAAAAAGAGCACTAACACAGGGCTAGGCACAGTGTACAGTACAAAAGAAGCCTAAAGTGTTTCCTAAAGAAACTTAAAAAATTCTAACTAAAGGACAAGCTCAGAGAGATAACATAAAGGAGAGTTTAAGAGGGTATATATGACTAAGGGACCTCTCTTGCATTGCACTGTCAATACCATATTCACCCTGCTACTCAGGCTCCTGAGAAACAATGGAGGGAGCCCTAGTGCATGTACAGGCCTTGATGCTCAGGCTAGGCCAACTGTCACTTTAAGACTGTAACACAAAAACTACAGGACACATACCAATCATTCAATACACTAAATACCAACTAAAATGGTAATGTATGTCAGTTCTGATTCAGTAAAGCATGCAACAGAAATCAAACACATGTCTAAACAATTTTCCAAAAAGCAAGTAACTAATGAGAAAGATACAAAAGACATGCTTCAAAACAGGATTTTCCTCCCTGGGACTTGTTAGAACTGTCATGTAGAGTGTTATAAATCTGCTATACCTAATAGTTCTTTACTGAACTTAAAAAGGAAAACAAAACTACTTGATTTTACATACACATACACACATGGCATCTTCTGTAATTTCTTAAAACTACGCAGGACTTTTGGGCTCCCTAAAATCACTGACAATTGAATAGTTATCATTTAAATATGCACTCTTTATCACACTGCTTAGAATTTTAACATCATAAGCTATTGCCTGCTATCAATTATCTCAATCACAATTTTCCTAATTTTCCCTAATTTGTTTTTTTAAATAAAATCTGGCCTACTTCTATGGGCTCAAAACCTGCTTACATTTTCAGAATACTAGAAAGTTCCATCAATGTAAGACTCACTAACAACAAATATAATAATAATAATAAATTTTAACTGATGTTTTCACACCATCTTTTAAAAACTGGCTTGGCCATCCATTAAACACTTCCTCACCCTATGGAAAAGATTTGTGGCAGAGCAGTGTGAAAAAGGAAAGTATTTGGTGCAAAGAATACACAGAGCCTCTGTATATTAACATTTTATCAATGCTACAGTGTCTAGGAAGTAGTCCAGAGCTTACCCTCCAAAAGGCAAAAAATATTAAATGTGGCTCTTCAAACAGAGAGGCTCAGCTGTGACATATGCACCAAAAACAGGAGCTCTATTTTCCTTGGCTTTTTAAAAATAACTTCTGAGAATGTCTTCTGAGACCAACCCACAAATAGACTGTTCACACTGACCTCCTTGTTTGTCTAAGTATGGCCTAAAGAGTGAAACCACAACGTGTGGTCAGTAAAGCTATCTTCCTGCTTCAGCTTCCACTCAAAGAGGGCTATTCTATCAACGCCACTCTGGGACAAGGCAGCTTCTGTAGGTGTTTCATTTCTGTCACCAGGGAACGTCTGTCTACGGAATTTGTATATATTAAACAGGATGTTCTTTATGTAACAAGTATATTAGAGTAAAACTTAAAAGCATATTCTAAGAGCATTAAACTTCATAAAGACATTTTTTCTTAACATCAAAAAAAAACCAAAAAAACACTTTCCTTAGTTCTTCACATCTATGCTCCACATTCTACTCAACCAAGTGAACACACATTATTTCCCCCAGTCTGAAGAAGGTTATCTAATATTTGTCCCATCATAAGATTTCTAATAAAAACTTAACAGATTACTATATGTTGGCATGTGCAATTGCATTAACAATATATTAATAAAATGTTTGTGTTAATTAAGATTTCCTGAGCAAAGCATGAGATTGTTCTTCTAAATCATTCCAAAGATAGTAAGCAATATGAATTCATCTTTATATAACAAAAATTCATTTTTCTTACATTTCATTTATACTTCTGATTATAAATACTAGCTAATCCAGACAAAGACTGGATTTTCATCTTTGGAAAATTATTTTCTAGTTGTCCAACTTTGCATTACCAGATTGGTCTAAATTTATCCAAAATATCCTCTGAAAGAATTAACATGGACTCTATGATTAGATTAGATATTTCTGATCCCTGTACACTGTTCTCTTATGAAGTGATTCTGAATCTCAAAAGACCAATTTATCTGCAATTACAATTACACAGTTTCAGTGATAGAAGAATCTTTGGTGATCTGATACAACTCTATAGTTGAGAAAAGTGAAGCCAATTGAAAATTAAGTTACTTTAATGTTATCCCCAATCCTACATGGGACCACATGGACCTAAAAATAAATATATAGACAAATAATTCATGAGGCCACAATCAAAAATATATGAAGCAAATAACAGTGTAAATTTCTGGATGTTAAAGCTGTACTTAGAAATTGAATATCCTAAAAAAAAAGTATTTAATTTGAAATTGTGTCTTCCTTTCCCAATTTTATTGAGATTTAATTGACATACAATGACCTATATATATTTAACATGTACAGTGAGTTCTGACTTTTATACAC